TCGGTCACTGATTCCACTACTTATGCTGAATATGTTGCAGCATGCCAAACAATAAAAGAAGTAGTATGGTTACAAAAGCTGGTTAAAGATTTTTATAACCTGAACTCGTTTAACACCACACTTCTATTAGATAATAAGAGTGCACTGGACTTGGTCAAAAATCCAGTTTTCCACAAGAGAACAAAACATATTGAGGTCCAGTACCATAACATAAGAGAAAAATATGAAGAAAAACTTTTTGAACTACAATACATCAACACTCTGGAGCAGACTGCAGACATACTGACAACAAAACCTTTGGCAAGAGATATTTTTGAAACGCACCGTGATGAAATCTGTAGCAACTGTGAATGATTTTTTTTCAATAAAATAGTGGGTGTTGAAAATATTTTCTTGAATGGAAATTGGTTGAAAAATTTGTAACAGCCGTACCAACTACTGAATGTAAAGTAGGTTGGTTGTCTGCTTTAGATTAATGGATATATATATCTTTCGACATAGGCGAATGCGTTTTTTATACAAATGAGTAATACATGTGAGCTTTAAATAAATCTTACTTCGATCACAAAATCATATGTTAACTATTTATTTAAGGTCTAATAATCAATCAATAATTATTGAAAGAGTAAATAGAACTTTAAAAAATATCATGTGGAAACGTTTCAGTTTAAACGGAAATTGCAAATGGATAAGCATATTAGCTGGTGTAGTTAGTCAGTACAATAATACAAAACACAGAACAATAGGAATGAAACCTCAAAATGTCACTAAAATACATGAGAAACTTATGTTATCAACTGCTTACAATCACATAAAATTAACCAGTATAAATTCCATTTTTAAAGTAGGTGNATCTTACTTTGATCACAAAATCATATGTTAATTATTTATTTAAGACCTAATAATCAACAGCAACCAATAATGCCAGACGTTATTTTGTACTTCACCGAAATTTCCGATGGTAGCCATAAATCCCGGTTGGTCCTTTATGATAGAGCGGTATGTGGTGAAAGCAATCTTTAAAATGAATAACTGCAAATATGGTTACGGAGACCGAAGTAACAGTCACTAGAATCTGACAGTATTCTCAGTCCTAGTTTATGATATCTAGGATATAACTTCTTTTGTTTAAAGACATCTTATCTTTGGATTGGTTTATTTCTACTTCTAAATAGGACTTTGCCAATCTTAGATCTTTAATATCAAACTTGGCTGTAAGATCTCTGAACTTCTTCTTTCCAAGTTCTATTTCTAAATACAATAAGGACATCATCTATAGCCCAAAAGGTTTGTGGAAGTTCGGATTGAAGTAACAGACACCTTTCCATCTCAAGAATGGTGCGATTAAAACGCTCTGCAACTCCATTTTGTTGTGGAGTATGTGGAACCGTAAGTCGACGTTGCAAACCATGTCTTTTAAGTAGCCTATCAAATTCAGTGCTACGGTATTCCTTGCCGTTGACTGACTGGAGACATTTTATACTTTTTCGAGTCTGATTCTTCATATAATTCTTGTATTGCTCGAATGCTATATTACTCCATTATTTCTGCCTAGAAGGTATATTTCTGACCATTTAGAAGCATCATCTATGAAAGAGGCAAAATATTTAGCCTTATTCAGGGATTGCAGTTAAGTTTTACCAACAACATCTGAATGTACAATCCTCAACAGCTCACTGCACGATGATTAACTCCTCGTATAAGGTAAACTAGTCATCTTTCCTCTAATGCATACATCACACTCAGGTACTTCAACTTTACCAGCATCTAGACCCATGGTACATTTAATAATTTTGACCACATCCTTAATATTTAAATGGTCTAGCTTCTCGTGCCATTCCTGTAGATCATCTTGGCTGACATGAGCGGATACCTTGGCAAACTGGGTACTTTATGAAAGGAAGTAATGATTATTCTTTCTAATTGCACTGAGTCTTACTCTACCTTCTTGGTCCATTATTTTTTCTGAATCTTTGGTAAAAGTTACACTATGACCACTAGCAGTAATTTTTGCAACTGATACTAAGTTTGACCTTAAATCAGAACGAATAATGTGTCTTTTAATGTCTAAATTTTTCTCGGTCATTACACAAGTGTCTAGTACAACCACTATCTAAAATCCAAGGTTCATCTGATAGTGACTTACATTTTCTGTTGTTTTGAGAAACAGCTCCAAAACATATGATTCATCCGCTGCATAACTCTTGGGACGTCTATTTGAATTGTTACCCTTTACCTGTTCTTTACACTCAGGTGATTTGTGACCATACGCTCCACAATTTTAACAGATTATCCTACTTTGCTCTTCTGTCTTATTACTATTCTTATTACTATTATGGTGTAAATAAATAGAATAATCATCTAAGTTTAGTAATAATTTAATAGTGTTCAAGTTCAATAATAATTAGTGTAAATAAATAGTTTTCGTCTTAGAAGTTAAATTTTGTTAAACCCACGAACATTACAACTGATGTCAGGTGTGGGGTTGAGTAAAAGACATTACAATGGCAAAGAAGTTGTACGAATTAAAAGTAGCTGAGTTAAGAAGAGAATTGGAAGAACGGGATGATGCAACAAGCGGTAATAAAGCGGAACTTCAGTGGCGGCCCGCGGAGGCGTTGAAAAAGGATGGCCATGATCCTAAAACGTTCCTTTTCGAAGACGAATTGTCGCAAATGATGAAAAGTTTGGAAAGCAAATTAGAAGAAAACAGTTAAAAGTTTAGAAAAATTGGAAAAAAAATGGTAAAAGTTTGGAAAAAAATGGGAAGAAAAATTGAAAGAAAACTGTAAAAGTTAGTTAAAAGTTAAAAATAAATTGGAAGAAAATAGCAAACGTTGGAAACGTGAATTGGAAGTAAATAGTAAAAGTTTGGAAAATAAATTAGAAGAAAACAGCAAAAGTTAGGGAAATAAATTGGAAGAAAATAGCAAACGTTGGAAACGGGAATTGGAAGTAAGTAGTAAAAGTTTGGAAAATAAATTAGAAGATTAGTCCAGAATCGCAACACCAAGACTCTGTTTTTGGTCGACACTGGCGCCGATCTGTGCGTTTTTCCGCGTTCATTCATTCGACAGCCATGTGAAAGGAGCAGCTACGAACTTTTCGCGGCTAACGGGACGTCCATCAGTACATACGGCACAACAACCAGGATCCTCAACCTAGGACTCCGGAGGGACTTCACATGGAAGATCGTCGTGGCAGACGTGAGCAGATCGATGCATCGACTTTCTGGCGCATTTTAACTTAATGGTAGACGCCAAAAATCGAAGATTGATCCACGCCACGACAAAAATTACAACGGTGGGACAAACAGCAAACTCCAACGTTCCGACGGTCAAAATCATAACAGGGTCTTTACCATATTTAGACCTACTAGCAAACTTTCCGGATATCGTGCGTCCGGATGGAACTGGGACTGTAAAGCATAAGACGGAACACCACATCCAGACTACTCCTGAACCACCCGTGACTCACAAACCCCGAAGATTGGCCCCAGACCGTCTACGAGCAGCGAAGCGTGAGTTCGACGCTATGCTTAAGTTAGGGACCGTCAGACCATCCCAGAGCTGTTGGTCGCCTCCCCTCCATAAGGTCCCCTAGGAAGGTGATGAGTGGCGTCCCTGCGGCGATTATCGAGGCCTCAGTGCGCGGACCGTACCTGATCGATATCCTGCCCGCCACATACACGATTTCTTCGTTGACGACATTGGTGGGAAACACCGTGTTTTCGACAATCGATTTGGTAAAGGCGTATCTCCAAATCCCGTCGCCGCAGCGGACATCTGCAAAACAGCCATCGCGACTCCTTTTGGACTCTACGAGTTTCCCTTTCTGTCGTTCGGTCCACAAAACGCGGCGCAGACATTCCAGCGCTTCATCGACGAAGTGCTACGTGACCTGGATTTCTGCTACGCGTATATCGACGACATACTGGTAGCATCGTCCACACCTGAGGACTATTTGGTCCACCTTGAAGTCCTGTTTCGCCGCCTCCAAGACTACGGCGTGGTCATTAACCCGGCGAAATGTAAATTTGGGGAAACCTCAGTAAAATTTCTGGGATACCTTGTTGATAGCAAGGGTACAGCACCACTCCCGGAACGAGTCAACGCCATAGCATCGCTTGCGTAGCCAACTTCAGTCAAGGATCTCCGTCAATTCCTGGGAATGGTAAATTTCTACAGGAGATTCATCCCCAAGGCTGCAAGTCTCCAGGCGCTCCTCAACGAGCTCCTGAAAGGTGACGTCAAGGGCAAGACTGGTATGGACACCAGAAGCGAAAACCGCCTTCGAAGCTACCAAGGATGGTTTGGCAACCGCCGCACTCCTGGCACATCCGGTATCCGATGCGCCACTGGCGATTTTCTGTGACGCGTCGAATTTTGCCATAGGAGCGGTACTGCAACAGTTCGTCAACGGATCCTGGCAGCCGTTATCCTTCTTTTCCAGAAAGCTTAAGTCAGCATAGAAGAAGTACGCCGCGTACGACAGGGAACTCCTGGCTATTTACGACGCCGTAAAATATTTCCGCCACATGGTGGAAGCCAGGACATTCACAATCTACACTGACCATAAGCCGATAACCTACGCTTTTGATAAGAAGGATAGCATATGCACCCCGAGACAATTTCGCTACCTTGACTTTATTGGGAAATTTTCTACGGACATCCGCCACCTTCCGGGAGAGGACAACGTGGTCGCCGACACTCTTTCAAGGATTGAAGAGGTCACTGTAGCCTTCGACATGGAGGAACTAGCCGCTGCACAACGTGCGGACAAGGAGGTAGCAGCGTTGGAGAAAAACAACAACTCTAACCTGCAGCTCAAGCTCATAAAAATTCCTGCTACGAACATCTCACTGGTCTCGATCTCCACGGCGCGCCCCTTCATTCCCCCGCCAATTCCGTCGAACAGTGTTCGATAAAATTCATAGTTTGTCGCACCCAGGGGCCAATGCATCTGCCAAACTGGTATCCAACCGTTACGTTTGGCCATTCATGAAGAAGGAATGTCGGGAGATGGTGAAAAACTGTCTGGATTGCCAAAAGTCCAAGATAACGCGCCACGTGTCAACAGTACCAGGGACCTTCACACCGCCTTCCAACCGATTCGAGAACGTCCATGTCGACATTGTAGTAATGCCTTACTGCGAAGGCTACCGCTACCTGTTGACATGCGTGGATCGATTCTCCCGCTGGCCAGAGGCTATTCCGATGGAAGATTAAGAGGCCGCTACAATTGCCCGTAATTTTTATGCACACTGGATAGCTCGTTTTGGGACTCCGCTACGCATTACGACGGACCAAGGAAGCAAATTGAGTCGCACCTGTTTAGGGAATTGAACGCTCTAACAGGTACGACCCATTTAAGAACAACGGTCTACCATCCAGAATCGAATGGGATAGTTGAAAGGCTTCACCGTCAGTTGAAGGCAGCAATCAAGTGCCACCGCACCGCTAAGTGGACCGAAACTCTTTCAACCGTCATGCTAGGGATTCGATCAGCCTGGAAGGACGATCTGCAATCCACCGCCGCAGAAATGGTATACGGCGAGCCCCTACGCCTTTCAGGGGAATTCCTAGCTAAAACAACGCTCGAAACCAGCACGACATCGGTGTTTGTACAACAACTGCGGCAACATGTACGACAATTACAACCCGTACACGGCAAGAGGACACCGTTCATCTTCAAGGACCTCGCAACCACAAGCCAGGTGTTTGTGTGCCATGACGGACCAAAAGGATCACTCCAGCAACCGTACGATGGTCCATTCAAGGTTGTATCACGAACGGAAAAGACGTTCGTGGTATGTATTCGCGGGAAGAACGTCAAAATAGCTATAAACTGTCAGAAACCTGCGTACGTTGTTGCCGACCTGGAAGATTACAATACCTACGACGAGAGGACCATCGAGATCTAACAAACTCCGATCATTCAACAGCATCCAACGACCTTACCGCCACCCGTACCGGAAGTACCACCACCAACGGAACTGTCAGTCCAACAATCGCAGATGTCACCGCCACAAAGAACAACGCGATCAGGACGTCGTGTCCGATTCCCAGATCGCATACAAGTCGGGTTCTCGTGACTTTATCACTGGCAGGAGGGTACTGTGGCGAAATAACTCTTATTGTTTTTTTGTGTGTAAATGTTTTTTCTAATTTTATTTCATTTCAAATATTATTTCTCTTCAAATATTATTTCAATTCTTTTCAACTTCTTATCTTGTAAATACTTTGGTGTCCTTTCAATCTAAACTCTATTGTTCTTTCAATCACTTTTACCAGGAAATCCAACTTCAACCATACCTGCATGCACTCCCATACTAATATCTGGTTTTACCTTTAATTGCTTTCTCTTGAATTCTGTACTATCTAATTCTGCGTATTCCTATAAACTAGTGTCTTCACCCTCTCACTACTTTTCCTTCTAAAACATTCTACCAAATCTACTAACAACTCTATCCTATAAATACTCCCAAATTTCATATCTCAAGGCAGTCTCTCGTCTACCGCCTCTACTACCATTTGTAAGTGTTTCTGCTTTTATCTGTATTTGTTTTGTTACTTGTGTTTCCGTTTTGTTCTTGTGGTATATAAATTGTTATTCGTTATTGTTAGTGTTTTCTTGGTATTTAAATAATTTAACACCAAAAGACACTAAAATGGAAAGACAAAACCAATCGAAGGGGATGTTGGCGCATCTAGTACACTCAACGAAGCCAGCCAAATCAGCCAAGGAAGCGGTATATAGTCCAGAACACGAGTAAAAACACCAACGTTTAACGGAAAGTCCACATGGACCACATACCACAAGCAATTCGAGGCGGCTGCTAAGGCGAATAACTGGGCGCCTGAAGAAAAAGCCACTGCGTTGACCGTTGCGCTTCATGGACATACATGTGACATTTTCAACACCCTTTTCCAGGAAGAATTGGCGGATTATGAACAGTTGGTAAAATTGTTAGAGCTGCGCTACGGCGAGGTTCATTTAACAGCGGTGTACCACATCTAACTAAAAACCCGTCAGCAGAAGCCAACAGAATTCCTACAAGAATTCGAGGCCAATATTGCGAGACTGTCTCGACTGGCCTATCCTAATATTCCAGAAGAATTGATGGAAAGGTTGACAGTGGAGGCATTACTGATGGACTTCGGGACAGTCACACTTAACAACGAATACGCCTTGACCGACCTTAGACGCTAGCTGATGCATTGGCTTGTGCATTGGAGTGTGAAACTGTTAAACGGGCCTATAGCAAACAGGGAAGGATTCGGCTACTGCGTGAAGAAACGGATTCGTCAGAATCTCTAGAAGAAACCGTCTGTCGAATAATTTCCAAGTTCAATAAAGAAACTCGAAAGCTAAGATGTTGGAATTGCGGCGAACTAGGTCACACGAGGAGGCAGTGTAGGAAAAGTACTACTTCCTCAAGTATTCGACGTCAACAGCAGGTAAATTCTGAAACAGTAACTGTTGAAATAAGTGGAGTGATTGACAGATATTGTAGGAATCTAACCAGTGAGCAGAAATGCAAAGTGCAACATGTCTTTGAGACCGACAAGAATAATAGGGGAAGGACCAATATCGTAAAACACATGATCAATACCGGTAATGCGCACCCTATTCGTCAAAGACCTAGACGATTGCCCCTGACCAAGAAGAAAGAAGCAGAGCGAATAATCCACAAAATGCAGGAGACCGGCATAACAGAACCATCCTCAAGTCTATGGACATCACCGGTAGTGTTGGTAAAGAAGAAGGATGGGACAACCCGTTTTTATGTGGATTACCGACAGTTCAACAACGTAACCAAGAAAGACAGTTATCCACTACCACGGATTGATGACACCTTGGATATGCTTTCTGGCTCGAAAATGTTTTCTACACTCGATTTGACGAACGGATACTGGCAAGTGACTTTATATGCTGCCGACAAGGAAAAGACCGCATTCTCGTTCGGCACGGGCCTATGACAGTTTACAGTTATGCCTTTCGGGTTATGCAATGCTCCGGCGACGTTCGAAAGGTTGATGGAGAAAATCTTGAGTGATCAAATTGGAAAGACCTGCTTGGTATCCTTGGATGATATCATAGTGATTGGAAGCATCTTTAATGAACACCTGCAGAATTTGCAAGCGGTATTCCAGCGGTTACGTGAGGCCATTTTGAAACTCAGTCCGAAAAAGTGCCACTTTTTCCGCGAAGAGGTTTCTTACTTGGGGCATGTAGCAGCGAAGGGCGTGGCCGTGGATCCAGAGAAGATAAAGGCCGTGAATGAATGGCCAGTGCCTGAAAATGTGCACGACATAAGATGCTTTTTGGGATTGTGCAATTATTATCGTCGCTATGTTTGTGGATTCGTCAATATTGTCAAACGGCATTTGAGACTTTGAAGCAGGCTTTAATCACAGCTCCCGTCCTGGTATATCCTCGGCCCAATGGAATGTTCATTTTGGAGACCGACGCAAGCAATGTGGGAATGGGAGCCGTTATTTCGCAGGTACAAGATTGCCAAGAGAAGGTAATCGGCTATTTTAGCAAGACCTTATCAAAAGCCGAAAGAAACTGCTGTGTCACTAGGCGAGAGATGGGCTGTAGTCAAAGGTGTAGAACATTTTTATAAATACCTGTATGGGTGAAAATTACCTTACGCACCCACCATGCAGATCTAAAGTGGCTTCTGAATCTCAAGAATCCGGAGGGCCAGGTATCTCGATGGATTGAGAAGCTACAGGAATATAATTTTGATGTAGAGCACTGGCTTGGAACCGCACACAAGAATGTCGATGCTCTTTTCAGAAGATCTTGTCAAACAGACTGCAAGCAGTGTGATCGAATGGAAAAGAATGAAGAGGCAATTCGACGCGTCACGGTAATCGATGACGAGTGGTTACCTGAAAATATAAAACACGACCAAGAAAATGACCCGGACTTGCACAAGGTGATGGAATGGGAAAGAGACGGAAAACGACCAATGTGGCAGCAAATTTCTTCCTGTACCAAAGTACTACAATCGTTATGGGCTCAGTGGGACTCAATGGTTTTGGAGGATGGCGTCTTGAAGCGTCTTGTTGAAAGTCCTGATGGAGAGGAAAATAGGAAGCAACTGGTTATTCCTCAAAACAAGGTTAAAGAGGTGTTGCAGTATCTTCATGATGGATCATCTGGTGGCCATTTTGGAGAGAATAAGACGCTTGGGAAAGTTCGAGAGCGATTTTTTTGGGTTAACTGTAAGGATGATGTGAAGAATTGGTGTAAGAAGTGTACCACCTGTGCCGCGAGTAATGGAACAGAAAAGGCCAAGGGCGCCAATGCATCAATACAATGTTGGTGGCCCCTTCGAAAGAATCGCAATCGACGTGGCGGGTCCATTCCCAGAGTCAGAGAAAGGTAACAAGTACATCGTGGTCGTTATGGACTATTTTACCAACATCCTTAAGGAGGGGGCAGTGTAGCGAGCACGAGCGTGTTTGTGTGCGATCGGGCATACGTATGTGTGAGCGGCTTATGGCGCCTTTCTTCATGTGCGCCGTATTTGTAAATGTGTGTGTCGTACCTGCGTTCTGGGAAAGCAATTAAACAGCTCAAAGAAAAAGAAATTTTTCCGAACGGTTCGAGAAGGTTCCCGAACGGAAACAAAGAGTATTTAAATGAAGAGACGATCGCCGAGAGTAGAATAGAAATAAATTGACCGTTGCAGAAGTGAATCAAGAAATAAATAGCACAGTGAATAGCGACAGTAGTAACAGTAGTGTAAATAAATAGAATAATTAAGTAATAATTTAATAGTGTTTTTAAGTTCAATAATAATTAGTGTAAATAAATAGTTTTCGTCTTAGAAGTTAAATTTTGTTAAACCCACGAACATTACAATACTCTAATCAATCATCCTAATTAGCGTGACGTGCGTATTTGGCGGAAAGATTTGAATCTAACACTTAAACTATACAATTGTCTTCGATTGGCGAAGGAGCGAGTTGCTTCACACTTCTTTTCACTGTGCTTGTCGACGTTTTCATCTAAACCGTCCGAATAATTCCATCTGTACTGGGATACGTCTTCACCACCCTTCCAACATTCCATCGCATGGATGGAAAATTTAGCCAAAATCACTAATTAAAACAATCGTACTGGTTTTGATGGAGTTTTTACTGTTCGACCATTTGTAGCGAATGTTTAGTTCGTTCAAGTACTCTTTGTGCCAACGATTCCAAAAATCCTGACGTACTTTCTGAGTATGCTTCCATCTCGATAAATGATTTGTTGGTATGGTTGAATAATCGCCTTCTGGCAGCTCTCGTTAATGTGGCACTGATAAGAATGAAAATGAAGGATGAGGAAAAGAAGGTCATTAGAATCATTGGATATGGGACAAAGGAGACGAGAATTGAGAATGACTTCGATGTCGACAGTAAAAGTGTTAAATTCTTCGAATGTAAAGATAGGGCCAGTAACGACGCGTTTAAAATGGTGTTTGAACATCTTCACTGTAGACTTCCACAAACTGCCAAAATGTGGGAGGTATGAAATTCCAATTAATGCCTTGATCACTAAGAAAATCTGACGTTAATTTTTGTTGTCGGAATAGAAAGAGGCTTTTTGAATACCAGTGTGAAAATTATTGGTGTGATATTCTCGAATTATGAGATTTGTTATGTGATGCAACTGTGGTAACAGTATTGGGTGCTGCTGCGCATATGAAGTGATTGAATTTTTTAGGCGACCTCCTACACGCATTAAACCATCATGGTCAATACACGGGTTAAGGGTCAGCAATCGTTTGTGGCCTAACTTTTCAATTTTCTTTTGAGTGATTTCATGCACTCTATCGCTTGATAACGAAGTTTGGACTAGCTTGAGTATTACTTTTTAGGCATAACATTGTTCTTCAGGTCTTATACTGCTGCAATGATT